CATAATTGGTCGCATTGGGAGGTGATCGTTAAGCGGGGGTCCACTGTATAAAAAGGTGTCAATTATGGGCCATCACAGCTCACTGGAGAATAAGTTCTAGTGGCCCTATAAATCCCGAATATAAATGAATTTTTCATGGCTGCACCATAGTTAAGATCATACCTTCACTAGGCAACTTTCTTGTTTAAATACCTGTATCACCCTGTATTATCAATCTCCGGTAGATTCAACAACTGTAGAAACACAACTACAGGTGGTACAGGACTGTTAAGGGCACAGGAATTTGTAATTAGCATAATTATAGTTAACTAACCTTCAGGCACAATGCCTCCCAGCATAACTAAAACCTCGATTTATCAAAAGTGTCAATTTAACACTTTGTTTTCTTTGCACCTCCGGCATGTTACTTTTGTGTGCCAGGAACAAGATGGAGTATTAAAAAAAAATGTTCCATAAACAAAGGCACTATGTATATACACGGCACTTCCAGAAAGCAAATGTGAATGGAACGACAAGGGATGATAATGGACATTCCCCCTAAAAATTGGACTCAGTTTCCCGGTTCAACTTGGCACAGAGGGAAAAAATCCCTGCATGCAATCATCAAAATTTTCATTCAATACTTGACTCTATGCTGAATTTTTCATATTTTACAGTATGTATAATTGGAGTCTTTTCCACATAAGTTTTATACTGTAGTAGCAAGTTTAATACTGTAGCAGCAATTCTTCAATTGTGTGTTCAACTTATATTTACCAGGGTTGCTAGGGTGCTCCACTGATAGAGGTAGAAAATTTATTTCTGAATTTCTCTTGCCTCTTTCCATCACTGTTTTCCTTTATTTCTAAAAGTTTTTTCATGAAGAGTTTGATGATGACTGGATTTCATTTAGAGGTGCCCCAATAGCAGTCAAATTTTGGATGATCCACTGACAGGAGATAGAAAATTGATGTACGAATTTTCTTGCCTCTGTCCATCGACGTTAATTTTTTGCCTAAAAAATATTAACGCAAAGTTTTGTGACAAATGAACTTCATTTAGAGATGCCCCAACGGAACTAAATTTCTCCACCCCTACAAAATGAGAATTCCCATTTATTATTAAAATTCTGTGACACCCAGCCTATAATCAACATAGCTGAAACACTTAGACAGGCAGCCAGTACCAGTAAGAAAAAGTAGCAGCTACATAGAACTGATTTGACTAGATATGTAATTTACGTTAGTGTACTGCTTATGAACATAAACTACACAACCATAATCCCAACTTGCCAGACTCTCTGAGTCTATATTGTCAACTTCTAAGCACCATTTATGATGGTAATGGTAGAATTTATTTTTATTATTATCACACTGGCCGATTCCCACCAAGGCAGGGTGGCCCGAAAAAGAAAAACTTTCACCATCATTCACTCCATCACTGTCTTGCCAGAAGGGTGCTTTACACTACAGTTTTTAAACTGCAACATTAACACCCCTCCTTCAGAGTGCAGGCACTGTACTTCCCATCTCCAGGACTCAAGTCCGGCCTGCCGGTTTCCCTGAATACCTTCATAAATGTTACTTTGCTCACACTCCAACAGCACGTCAAGTATTAAAAACCATTTGTCTCCATTCACTCCTATCAAACACGCTCACGCATGCCTGCTGGAAGTCCAAGCCCCTCGCACACAAAACCTCCTTTACCCCCTCCCTCCAACCCTTCCTAGGCCGACCCCTACCCCGCCTTCCTTCCACTACAGACTGATACACTCTTGAAGTCATTCTGTTTCGCTCCATTCTCTCTACATGTCCGAACCACCTCAACAACCCTTCCTCAGCCCTCTGGACAACAGTTTTGGTAATCCCGCACCTCCTCCTAACTTCCAAACTACGAATTCTCTGCATTATATTCACACCACACATTGCCCTCAGACACGACATCTCCACTGCCTCCAGCCTTCTCCTCGCTGCAACATTCATCACCCACGCTTCACACCCATATAAGAGCGTTGGTAAAACTATACTCTCATACATTCCCCTCTTTGCCTCCAAGGACAAAGTTCTTTGTCTCCACAGACTCCTAAGTGCACCACTCACTCTTTTTCCCTCATCAATTCTATGATTCACCTCATCTTTCATAGACCCATCCGCTGACACATCCACTCCCAAATATCTGAATACGTTCACCTCCTCCATACTCTCTCCCTCCAATCTGATATTCAATCTTTCATCACCTAATCTTTTTGTTATCCTCATAACCTTACTCTTTCCTGTATTCACCTTTAATTTTCTTCTTTTGCACACCCTACCAAATTCATCCACCAATCTCTGCAACTTCTCTTCAGAATCTCCCAAGAGCACAGTGTCATCAGCAAAGAGCAGCTGTGACAACTCCCACTTTGTGTGTGATTCTTTATCTTTTAACTCCACGCCTCTTGCCAAGACCCTCGCATTTACTTCTCTTACAACCCCATCTATAAATATATTAAACAACCACGGTGACATCACACATCCTTGTCTAAGGCCTACTTTTACTGGAAAAAATTTCCCTCTTTCCTACATACTCTAACTTGAGCCTCACTATCCTCGTAAAAACTCTTCACTGCTTTCAGTAACCTACCTCCTACACCATACACTTGCAACATCTGCCACATTGCCCCCCTATCCACCCTGTCATACGCCTTTTCCAAATCCATAAATGCCACAAAGACCTCTTTAGCCTTATCTAAATACTGTTCACTTATATGTTTCACTGTAAACACCTGGTCCACACACCCCCTACCTTTCCTAAAGCCTCCTTGTTCATCTGCTATCCTATTCTCCGTCTTACTCTTAATTCTTTCAATTATAACTCTACCATACACTTTACCAGGTACACTCAACAGACTTATCCCCCTATAATTTTTGCACTCTCTTTTGTCCCCTTTGCCTTTATACAAAGGAACTATGCATGCTCTCTGCCAATCCCTAGGTACCTTACCCTCTTCCATACATTTATTAAATAATTGCACCAACCACTCCAAAACTATATCCCCACCTGCTTTTAACATTTCTATCTTTATCCCATCAATCCCGGCTGCCTTACCCCCTTTCATTTTACCTACTGCCTCACGAACTTCTCCCACACTCACAACTGGCTCTTCCTCACTCCTACAAGATGTTATTCCTCCTTGCCCTATACACGAAATCACAGCTTCCCTATCTTCATCAACATTTAACAATTCCTCAAAATATTCCCTCCATCTTCCCAATACCTCTAACTCTCCATTTAATAACTCTCCTCTCCTATTTTTAACTGACAAATCCATTTGTTCTCTAGGCTTTCTTAACTTGTTAATCTCACTCCAAAACTTTTTCTTATTTTCAACAAAATTTGTTGATAACATCTCACCCACTCTCTCATTTGCTCTCTTTTTACATTGCTTCACCACTCTCTTAACTTCTCTCTTTTTCTCCATATACTCTTCCCTCCTTGCATCACTTCTACTTTGTAAAAACTTCTCATATGCTAACTTTTTCTCCCTTACTACTCTCTTTACATCATCATTCCACCAATCGCTCCTCTTCCCTCCTGCACCCACTTTCCTGTAACCACAAACTTCTGCTGAACACTCTAACACTACATTTTTAAACCTACCCCATACCTCTTCGACCCCATTGCCTATGCTCTCATTAGCCCATCTATCCTCCAATAGCTGTTTATATCTTACCCTAACTGCCTCCTCTTTTAGTTTATAAACCTTCACCTCTCTCTTCCCTGATGCTTCTATTCTCCTTGTATCCCATCTACCTTTTACTCTCAGTGTAGCTACAACTAGAAAGTGATCTGATATATCTGTGGCCCCTCTATAAACATGTACATCCTGCTTATGAACATAAACTACACAACCATAATCCCAACTTGCCAGACTCTCTGAGTCTATATTGTCAACTTCTAAGCACCATTTATGATGGTAATGGTAGAATTACCTATAGAATATTGGGTAAATGGACACGGATGCAGCTAATGTGGCATTTTACTGTGGCAACGTTGTACTCTCCAGGAGCTTTGTCAAGCCATTACGGTAATGGCTATTTATGATGCTATTATAAGTAAAATGTTCTTTAAAGAACAAAATGAACAATACTATGACTGTAACTATAAACAATTAACCTGCACATAGGACTGAGCAGCTTATGACAACATTTCGGTCTGACTTGGACCATTTACAAAGTCACAAAGTTACGAATGGTCCAAGTTGGACAAAAATGTGGTCATAAGCTTCTCTCTCCTATACATGGGTTATTTGTAAAAACATTCTTTGTTGCTATTTCACTTGGAAACAGCCAATGGAAGTTAAATTATTAAGTCTTTCTAACACCAGTGGAAACTTACCAGGAGGTAAGTCTTCATACGAAATTAAAAAAAAATAGATATAAACATTAACCAGTGTTGCAATCACCAAAAACACATGCAAGCAAGCAGTATGCATAACACATACTGGGATTTGTTTCACATTTACCCTTTATTTCAAAGACCTTAGATAATAATTATATGCAAACTTACTACAGTACTAACAGCTTATTACTAAAGTACATACATATACATGTATATCTTAGACCCCTGTTTTCTCTGGGAATATCCCAGCCTTGTAGGAATGGATACATACAGAATTTTTCAAACATTTCATATACAGTAAATATATATATACACACATATATGCATGCATGCAAACACATATAGGTGAGTATATACATAATTAAAAACTACTGCACCAGGACATGATATTCACATTTTAGTAAGCAAAAAAAATGTCATCCATTACATCCCATTTGTTCAAACTATCATTAAAGTTTCTTTTAAAAATGTAAGTTTCCTGATCATTTACAAACTGTCAAAGTTTAACCCATTTTCAAGAAAAGGCAACAAATCCAACAGAAATACAACAATTATCACCCAATATCAGTCCTACCTGCATTTAGTTAAATAGTAATAAAATGCAAGTTCCTACATGATTAATGACATTCTTATCAACTCACTTTTTTAAGAACTTCTTAGTTTGGCATTCATCCAGGCGATCCACGGAATTAGGTGTCCACCTGACAAAATTTGTATAAGAAGCTCTTGATGACAATGATTATTTAAGCGGTACATTTTATTACATATCGAAAGTCTCCAATTCATGTTACCATGAGGTTGTGCTTCGCAAATTAAAATATAGCTATGTTTTCTAGTTCATGAACAGGAAACAATATATTCAAAATGGCTGCTTAGTAGGTGCAAAGCCATCACATGCCAGGTTCACCAAGGCATATATTTTGGGCCTATTTTGTTCCATATACTTGTGACTTACTGAAGTTTTCCCTTTAATTTTTAACTGGTTTTAATATTTATGAATTACATTGTTTTCTCTTCTCATCTTTTGTACCACTAATAAATATCTACTAATAAGGAACTAGCATAATATATTGGAAAATGATATGAACAAATAGGTTATTACTGACAATTAAATTCATTAACACAACTTGTCTAAGACCATACATATAATTTATAGAGAAAATAATCAATTAAAATTCTTAACATAAGATAAATCTGTCTTCCTTGGTTAACTATTTTCTTTTTTGGTACCTCATCACATCTTCATCCTGATCAGACATGCTCCTTATATACAGCACAGTACCTAATATTAAACTACTTTTCAGCACTTACACTCTAATTTTCCATCATCCTGCATAATAATTCCCTTCAGTCTTTAATCCTTCCTTCTGTAGTCAAGGCTACTAGATATGGTTGGTGCCACATACATTAGCTCATGCTGTTTTACTGACTAAAGTATTTAACATCTCCCCCCTTTCCCTTCAGCAAAAGTACCATCTCTCAAAACCTCCCTCACTTTTGTATCAATAAAGATATTAACATCCAAGGTAACACAACTGATACTTCTTGGATACCATCTGCAACTTCAGCCTATCTGAAAGTTCCTGATTGTCATCGTAACACACTGCTGTATCTCAGACCAATTCTTAGCAAAATATCCAGCTGAATTTTTCAACTCACTCCTACCAGTTAAAACATTTTCTACACCCATTAGAATCCATACAAACTTTTCTTGTGATCCTAACTCAAACAACACAATCCTATAAACAGTACAATACTAGACATCATCCAGAGTTTAATTTAGCCAGCATATAGGAGCAGGTTATAAAATACAAAATACAATGGAGTATACCAAATATATAATGTAGATCATAAACCTTCTATTACAGTTATTTTATTTATCCCCTGAAATGGTCATCATATTTTTTTAGTAAATTGTTGAAGATGCTGTTAGCTATCAATGCAATACAAAACACTTTCAAATTGCAGTCCAAAAATAAATTAGACATTAAAACGTGCCAATTATTTGAGTGTTAGTATAAAATACACAACTAAAGGATCATCAATTAGTTTTCTTAATAAAATCTGGACAAACATAAACATACCACCATCACCTGTACAAACTGTTCCACACCCTGCTTACTCACTCGCCAGTCACTGATGGTTTGCGGGTCTCAGCTTTCTTGGGACGCCCGGGTTTGCACTTCAAAGGGGAGGATGGGGTTTTGTCTCTTGCACCAACCATGAAATGTGAAAAGATCTCTGTCTGCTTCAAGAGATAGTCGAATCTTTTGGAACGATCCGACTCCACCTTGTTTTCATACTCTGCACCAGCTTTACTGGAAGACGTTGTTTCAGCTGATGATGACTCATTCTGCAAAAATTAATATTTTTATAATTATGCAATAAAGGCATAAATTACACACATTCTTATTGTATTTCATGTTAAAAGAATATTATTCGTATAATACAGAAACAAACAAGTGCTATATTTCATAAACTATTAATGTGATTTGATGGTACTGCATACTATATGATGTAGTGAGAACTTACCATACCAATACGTAATTAAGATTTACAGAATAACAAGGACCTCCGTGGATGTAAGTCACTGACTTTTTTGGGTTATCCTAGGTAATTTACAAGTTACTATATATGATAATTGTACTTGTGTGTCCCTGTCCCTAAATAAACTTTCTAATGATCCAAGTTGGACCTAAGTGTCATCATGTTTCATTATTATTATTATAATCAAGGGAGAAGCGATAATCCCGTATGATTATACAGCACCAGTAGAGGGAAGTGGAAGGTATTCAGGTTTAATTGAGGGAACTGGAGCACAGATACAATTCCCTAGATCAAGAGCCCCTCACCAGCATCAAGGAGCCTTCCTTGAGGGGTCATAAGTTTCAGTCTCGAACAGGCAGGTTATTTGTGTATTGTTTCAATCACAGAGTTTAAACTTTTTATTCTTTGCATTATCATTATTACAATCAAAACTGTGCTAAACCCACAAAGGTCATACAGGTTTTCATAATAAGTTAAAGTACAGGTATTTAGTACAATTGTCATAGTGTAAATTATCTAGGATAACCCAAAAAAAGTCAGACTGACTTATTCCCACTGGCAATTTATTCCCACTGGTGATTCCCATTAGTGATTTACCACTGGTGATTTATTCCCACTGGTGATTTATTTCTATTAATGAATTATTTCCATTGATTATATATTTCTATTGATGATTTATTTTCTTTGCTATTTCCATTGGTTATTTATTTTGATTGGTAATTTATTTCCATTGGTGACTATTTCTACTGGTGACTTATTTCCATTGGTGATTTATTTCAATTGGTAACTTTCCATTGGTGACATTTCCACTGGTGACTTTATTCCCATTGCCGACTATTTCCAATGGTGACTATTTCCATTGGTGACTTATTTCTACTGATGACTATTTCCACTTGTGACTTTACTTCCACTGTTGACTATTTCCATTGGTGACTATTCCCATTAGTGACTTATTTCCACTGGTGACTATTTCCACTGGTAACTATTTCCATTGGTAACTATTTCCACTGGTGACTATTTCCATTAGTAACTATTTCCATTAGTAACTATTTCCACTGGTGACTATTTCCACTGGTGACTATTTCCATTGGTGACTTATTTCCAATGGTGACTATTTCCATTGGTGACTTATTTCCACTGGTAACTATTTCCATTGGTGACTATTTCCATTAGTAACTATTTCCATTGGTAACTATTTCCACTGGTGACTATTTCCACTGGTGACTATTTCCATTGGTGACTAATTCCACTGGTGACTTATTTCCACTGGTGACTTATTTCCACTGGTGACTTATTTCCACTGGTGACTTATTTCCACTGGTGACTATTTCCACTGGTGACTTATTTCCAATGGTGACTATTTCCATTGGTGACTTATTTCCACTGGTGACTTATTTCCACTGGTGACTTATTTCCACTGGTGACTATTTCCACTGGTTACTATTTCCACTGGTGACTATTTCCACTGGTGATTTATTTCCAATGGTGACTATTTCCATTGGTGACTTATTTCCACTGGTGACTATTTCCATTGGTGACTTATTTCCACTGGTGACTATTTCCACTGGTGACTATTTCCACTGGTGACTTATTTCCAATGGTGACTATTTCCATTGGTGACTTATTTTCACTGGTGACTATTTCCAATGGTGACTATTTCCACTGGTGACTATTTCCACTGGTGACTATTTCCACTGGTGACTTATTTCCATTGTTGACTATTTCCACTGGTGACTTACCATTGTGTTGATATTTTAAGACATGTTGTTTAGTATGCCAATAAAGGAGTAATATTAAGAGGTTAAAACCTCAAATACACAAACCTCACAACAGTTCTGGCAGCAAAACTTTGATAATTTCCCAAAACCAACAAAATAATATTCCCGCGTTAAAGCCCACACTGACACATTCTCCTTATTTCCAATTTTCCCCCGTTGTAACACCACTAAAATTTATTAGTCATACTCACGGAGTTGTCCCCAACCTCCATGGGTTCCACAGCATCATCAATATCAGACATTTTGGTGGAAATTTAGGGAAAAATGGTGGGAAAATAAGAGAGCGGAGGCTGCGGCTGACGCTTCTTCTTCTTCCCCGGCAAACAAAAACACAGCAGTCAATACACTAACTATATTTATTATTTATATTTTAATGTTATGTTTAAATATTTCACTAAATCAACTACATTAATCTGTTTTGATATTGGATTTATTTTTGGTGATGGTGTGTAGGGAATTATTTCAGCGCAAATGTAATGGTAGAAATTTTAGTTTTTTGGTTGGACTTGGAGATGGTTTGACTTTTCTAAAATATTTATTAAATGTAAATTATGTACATTATATGTTTATCATCATGTATATGATATCACAGATAAGATTATTATCTTTGTCAAAGCGATGTATTAGATTTATATTCGGTCAAAATTATGTAAGGTCAAAAAAAGGACCCCCTGAGATAAGTCAAAAAAGTCACTGACTTTTTATTTATTTATTTTTTTTTTTGAACATGATACAGAGAAGTACAAGGAATACAATATTTACAGTTCAACATGCCAAAGTCCCTTGTATGTTAGCATTATGGGCAGCTTAAAATTAACTTAAGATTAACTAAGCAATGATACATTCAGTGGTACAAAAATTATTGTAAAACAGATAACAATTTAGTACAGGAGAGTATTACAAAGACAGGTTATGTGGTTATTACTGTGTTGATGTGTATTGGATGGTGTATTATGTTAGGTAATGAAGTTAAATAGTAATGAAGTTTGATTGGGTCACAAGTTGACATTTATGAGATACATTATTATTATTATAATCAAGGGGGAAGCGCTAAACCCGGAGGATTATACAGCGCCTGGGAGGGGGGGGATGTGGAAGGCATTCAGGCTTAATTCAGGGAACTGGAGCACAGATCCAATTCCCTAAATCAAGAGCCCCTCACCAACATCAAGGAACCTTCCTTGAGGGGTTATGAGATACAATTATTCAGTATTTATTTAGTTGTGGGTAAGTGGTTTTTGAGAAGAGACTTGAATTTATAAACTGACAGTGTTTCTTTTATATTCACAGGTAATGAATTCCAGATTTTAGGGCCTTTTATGTGCATTGAGTTTTTGTATAGTGTGAGATGGACACGAGGAACATCAGTGATCTGTCTTGTGTTATGGTCAAGTGTTCTGTTGAGGTTGGCAAGATGTTTGAGGGGAGGGTTAATATCAGAGTTAAGTGTTTTATGTATGTAATAGGTGCAGTAATAAGTATGGATGTTTTGTATGGTGAGTAGGTTTAGTGTTTTGAATATTGGTGGAGTGTGCTGCCTGTAGTGAGAATTTGTTATTCTGACTGACTTTTTTTAATTATCTCAGGTTCTGTATACATACGTTGCTATGTATGATAATCTATGTATTTCTGTATACCTGAATAAACTTACGTAATATCCGTTAATAGAGATTATATTAGATTAATTTGTAAATAATTTATTATATAAGGGAGTTCTTAAAACTTTTAATATAGGTATTGAACCTGAATATAAACTTACCTACCGTGTGATGGTAAATTTAACCTTTGAGGATCATATAAGCTACGGTGACCCGTGACCTGGTGGCTAACTCTCGCTTCACACGGCGAATGTCCGGGTTCGATTCCCAGCGAGGGTAGAAATATTGGGCGTGTTTCTTTACATCGGTTGTCTATGTTCACCCATCAGTATAAAAGGTACCTGGGTGTTAGTGGACTGGTGTGGGTCGCATCCTGGGACAAAACTGACATAATTTGCCCATAATGCTCAACATAACAAGGTACTTTCTATATAGTAGTATGTCATTGATGTCAGCTATGGTCTGTATACCTTGTACATGTACTGGTAGAAATGAAAATGTTATTATTATTATTATTATTATTATTATTATTATTGCATTTTATCATACATTTAATGTCGTTCCTATTTCTCGGCAGTAAATTCTGTATATTGGACCACAGTGAAAATAAGTCACTGACTTTTTTGGGCTATCCAAGGTAATCTACACATATGCTGCTATGTATAATAATTTATGTAACTGTATTTATGTATACCTGTACCTGAATAAACTTACTTATTTGAATATGACGGCATTTATATTTTGTCAGGTTGGTGGAGGGTGAGGCAGGTCAGCGACCCTCCCCGGGGACCTCGCTCACTCAAATCACAAAAAATGAATATTCGTTTCTGAGAAGCATATATATTTACATTTATTGATTTTACGGTTCATTTGGCTTCTGTTACGATAGAGTTGTATTGGGAAATATTTTAATGCTCAGAAAAAAGCCACTTAGTAGAGTAATAGGTCACTTTTTTTTTTTTTTTTTTTTTTGGGGGGGGGGTATCCTACGTAGTCTACACATGTTCTGCTATGTATGATAATTTATGTAACTGTATTTATGTGTACCTGTCCCTGAATAAACTTACTTATTCAAGGTGATGGACTTAACCTCACTTCCCTTGGATCAAACCTTAAATGCCTCATTCCCCCGGGTGTTATAAGAGCCCCTAGAGGTTTAGCACTTTCCCATGAATAAAATTATAATTAAAAAATATTCGCCCTAACATAGTCACATTATAACCTAAACCAGTTAAGAAATTTTTTTAACATAAGGTCAATATGGACTTCAGGTTCAGGTCAGAACTCATCATTATTTTATGATGCAAAATACAAGCAACTGTTATCTGTACCCCAACAACGAATGTTATTTCTTGTGCAAATTTTTATTTTTGAAAATATTAGCAAAACTAACATATTTTGACAAGAGTGGCACTTCTGAGCCAATCAACTGCCGGTATCAAGTCACGTAGTGTGCCTGGCTAAACACAACAGTGTATATATAGATGCACTGAATGTAAACAGACCAACCATTCCCATATCTACCACTGGAGGAGTAAGCTTAGGTTATTTTAGGCTGCATTATACCGGGTTTCCTTAAGTTACGTTTCGTATTATTCCCACAAAATGAACTACCTTACCCACATAACCCACTTAATACTAGACATTTTAACAAATAAATTATCAGTTAACTCTGACCAGGACACAAACTCAATAATGGCTCTAAAATTTAATAATAATAATAATAATAATAATAATAATAATAATAATAATAATAATAATAAAAATTATACATTCAGATACACTTACTTTATGTTTCCTTTTTTGCCAACACCTGGGAAATAATCTAATCCCAGACTTCCACAGATTTGTACCTTTACCTTTGACGAGTTCCGGGAGTTTCTCAGAACTCGACATACGAGCCGGGCTGTGGCTAGTACATTGGTCTGCATGTGGCCAGCAGTAACAGCCTGGTTTATCAGGTCTTGATCCACCAAGAGGCCTGGTCATGGACCGGGCCGCGGGGGTATTGACCTCCAGAACACCCTCCAGGTAGACTCAGAGCCCGGCTTTGGGCCAGACTTGTTTGATACTTGCTTTATTTTTCCCTTATTAGGTATAAGGAAGAACAGACAAAATATAACTGTATTAAAATATTTATGGGGATCACTAAACCTGAAGGGGTCATTAATTGCTTGGAAATCTGCAAATGGGAGACACTAAAGTTAGATCAAAATGAGAAGGTTGCTCCAATTCCCTGCATCAGGAGCCCTTCACTGACAACTTATTATTTCATGTACTAACAGTAAGTAGGTACCCGAGTGTTAGTGGCATGGTATGGTGGTGTTGCAACCCCTGAATGGGTCACAATGTATATGATGTATATTATGTATAGTATATAATGTATATTACCTTTTCATATAATTTTATACTGCTTATATTTGCGATAATAGCTACTGCGATAATAGTTACTTTTGTTAGGTAGGATGTAACATATTATGTGCTCATAGTTCAAGTCTTGATTGTCTAACTACTGTAATTATCGCTTGTGGCTTGTTACTCTGCCGGCTTCTCGTTGTTGCTGGGCAGCGACTGTCCACGGAGCTATCACGTGATCGAGGGGGGGTGTTCACACCTTGCCTGAAGCATTCAGTCTAGTCTAGACTCGCTTGGTGGTTGGACATATTCCTGACAAGTGCCTAACTCTCCCTTATTGGCCTTTATTGGAAGATCGTCTCTGTAGCTTTCTTGTTGTATCTAGAAATCTGTTCACAGAACATCGTCTACTCTAGACTTAGTGATTTTCAACATTGTACTGAGGTTGTGTGTCGCATAGACACTCTGAGCAACTCAGGTCCTGAGCTGTAGCTTCTGACCTAACTTGTACTGGTATCTGTGTACTGTCACAGTCGGGGATTTTCTTATGCTGAACTTAGATTCAGTAGTATGGGAGTTTTGTGACTTTTGTGGAGGATCTGCTGATGGTCCCTACTTAGTGTCATATTATCTCCTTGTTCCTAATTCTCTGTCGCAGTTGCTTGTTATATTGCTGTTGGGCTTAGCATTCTTTTTATTGTTCAAGCAGACTGTTCTGATTGCCAGTTGGTCAAGAAGTTAGTTTATGAGAGGACTTTGTCAGTCACTTGTTTAAGTCTAATCGAGTCGTAAGACATAGCGAACTACTTAGAGCACTTACACACATACACGCAAACTTATTTGTATATTGTATTATTAAATGTTAATGTACCAGACGGTACTTAAGAATTATAAATGTGATATGTGCTATCAGCACAATACTACTGTACACGAAAGAAGTGATTATTCTTATTCTGTTGATATTAATTTAATTTAATTTGATATATGCCTAAACAACTTAATTATTAGTAAATTTATTAAATTTTAATTTCTCTAGTTAGTGGCCTACCAGTTGTAATCCTGAAGCACTAATAATTCTTATTGAATTCTAATGTATAATTGGACAAGGATACTGACTAATTGTTACAAAAACCCAGTAACAGGCTGGATGCTAGAAGGGCAGTCCTTTCTAGTATTCACTGGAGATCTCTAAGCTTTTTAGAAATCGCGTTTTTTGTAACAGTGGTATCCTGGGGGACAAGAATGAAGGACCACAATGGAAATAAGACAGACAGTCCTCGATGATGCACTGACTTTCTTGGATTATCCTAGGTGGCTAACCCTCCCCCAGACTAAAAATCTAAACAAATCTTATCTTATGGAGATCATCCAGCAGGTTGAGGTGAGACTAAATACCTCGTAGCCAACCAGTACTACATTTGGCTTACAAAGGACCCGGACTCAATTCTGAGTAGAAGCAAGTCTTGACGTGTTTGACCCATACAGGTATAAAGCATTAAATGAATATGTATCCTAACATCTGTTATCAGTAGTCATCTTGCAGTCAACAGGTACCCAGGTTAGAAGACTAGTGGGTGGCATCCTGATTATTATTATTATAATCAAAAAGAAGCACTAAACCAGGTGGCATCCTGAGAAAGATTAAACAGTCAGAATGAAAGTACACTGTAAATGACACTGCTTTTGTTTCTTGGGTTAAACCTCCAGAGTAAATAATCCATGCAGTATTATTTGTCCATACAGGACGATGTATTATTTTATACAAATACTTGCTAAATTCCTAGGTAGTAGGTTGGTAGACAGCAACCGCCCAGGGAGGTACTACCGTCCTGCCAAGTGAGTGTAACACGAAAGCCTGTAATTGTTTTACATGATGGTAGGATTGCTGGTGTCCTTTTTTCTGTCTCATGAACATGCAAAATTTCAGGTACATCTTGCTACTTCTACTTACACTCAGGTCACACTACACATACATGTACAAGCGTATATATACATACCCCTCTGGGTTTTCTTCGATTTTCTTTCTAGTTCTTGTTCTTGTTTATTTCCTCTTATCTCCATGGGGAAGTGGAACAGAATTCTTCCTCCGTAAGCCATGCGTGTTGTAAGAGGCGACTAAAATGCCGGGAGCAAGGGGCTAGTAACCCCTTCTCCTGTATATATTACTAAATTTGAAAGGAGAAACTTTGGTTTTTTCTTTTGGGCCACCATGCCTCGGTGGGATACGGCCGGTGTGTTGAAAGAAAGAAAGACTTGCTAAATTATTAATATTATAATTAAAACTAAACACTACACCCACAAGGCTCATACAGCAGATACTTGCTAAAGAACAAGTGTAAGCTATACTCTTAAAACCTTAATAAAGGTAGAAATAAGGCACTATAAGGCTACAAATGAATACGTATTTTTTTAAGTCAACATTTTGAGCACTATATATTAATCTATAAAAAAGTAGATACCATAACCTTTAACTGTTAAAGAAGGATTTGCAAGTCACCAACACCACTACACCCTAATAGACAATGTTCTCACCTCACACACCAAGTGTCCATGGTTCGATTCCTGGCCAGGTAGAAACATTGGGCATGTTTCCTTACACCTACTGTCCCTGTTCACCTAGCAAGTAGGTACCTGGGTGTTAGTGGACTGGTGTGGGTGGCACCCTAAGAGACAAGATTGAAGGATCACAATGGAAATAAGATAGACAGTCCTCGATGATACACTGAATTTCTTAGGTTATCCTGGGTGGCTAACTCTCCAGGTTAAAAAACGAACAAATTATTATCTATCAAAAGACCCCTGGCTGTTTTCAAGAAGATGCTGGACAGGCACCTGAAGTCAGTATCTTACCAGCCGGGCTGTGGCTTGTACATTAGTTTACATGCAGCCAGCAGTAACAGCCTGGTTGATTATTTCCTGATCCACCACGAGGCCTGGTCACGGACCGGGCTGCAGGAGCGTTGATCCCCGAAACCCACTCCAGGAATACTCCAGGTATCTTATCTAACTTGCTGCCACACTATTACAACTCCTAAATCATTACACCTCATTCTACAAACTTGAGGAGCTAAAAATTTTTTTACAAAGGTTGAAAACACTAATGCTTTCCTTTGTTGATAGGAACTTAGCTGTATAGCCATAATTTTTTTTCCTAACACACTGGCTGTCTCCCACCCAGAAAGGGTGACCTGAAAAAAGAAGAAATACCTTCACCATCTCTCTGACTATCACTTTCCTTGCCAGAGACACACCTATACTACAGCTGAGATAAGATAAGATTTTCTTCGGATTTTTTTTTCACCAAGTCGGCCGTCTCCCACCGAGGCAGGGTAACCCAAAAAGAAAGAAAATCCCCAAAAAGAAAATACTTTCATCATCATTCAACACTTTCACCTCACTCATACAAAATCACCCTTTTTGCAGAGCTGCCCAGATACAACAGTTTAGAAGCATACACTATAAAGATATACGTACTATAACACATCCCTCCAAACTGCCAATATCCCAAACCCCTCCTTTAAAGTGCAGGCATTGTACTTCCCATTTCCAGTAGTCAAGTCCGGCTACATAAAAATAACCGGTTTCCCTGAATCCCTTCACTAATTATTACCCTGCTCACACTTTAATAGCTCGTCAGGTCCCAAAAACCTTTCATCTCCATTCACTCCTATATAACACGCTCACCCATACTTCAGAGTCAGACATTATACATGTACTTCTCTTCTCCAAGACTCAAGTCCTGCTAACCAATTTCCCTGAATCCCTTCATGAATGTTACCTTGCTCACACTCCAACAGCATGCCAAGTCATAAAAAACCACTTGCTTCCACTCACTCCTGTTATTTTATTATTATTATTACAGTGGACCCCCGGTTAACGATATTTTTTCACTCCAGAAGTATGTTCAGGTGAAGTACTGACCGAATTTGTTCCCATAAGAAATATTGTGAAGTAGATTAGTCCATTTCAGACCCCCAAACATACACGTACAAACGCACTTACATAAATACACTTACATAATTGGTCGCATTCGGAGGTAATCGTTATGCGGGGGTCCACTGTATTACATTCAAGCAGGAGCACTAAGAAAGTACAATTCACACAGTGGCTGGGAAAATGGGAAGCATTCAGGTTCATTCCAAGATAACAAAACTGCAGTCAGCACAAAGTGAATGATTTACCTAACCACTAACACTGCCATCTTTGTGAAAATTTTAATGAAATAAGTACAGTACAGGCTAGTAACCCCTTCTCCTGTTATATATTACTAAATGTAAAAGGAGAAACTTTCGCTTTTCCTTTTGGGCCGCCCCACCTCGGTGGGATATGGCTGGTGCGTTGTATGAAAGAAATAAGCACAGTACAATTAAAATAAGGCTTATGAAGAACAAAAAGTCACAATACCTTGACTGGAATAATATACAAATAACCCATATATAGGAGAAAGCTTACTGAGTATACCAGGAAAAGTGTACGGTAGGGTTATAATTGAAAGAATTAGAGGTAAGACAGAATGTAGGATTGCGGATGAGCAAGGAGGTTTTAGAGTGGGTAGGGGATGTGTAGATCAGGTGTTTACATTGAAGCATATATGTGAACAGTATTTAGATAAAGATAGGGAAGTTTTTATTGCATTTATGGATTTAGAAAAGGCATATGATAGAGTGGATAGAGGAGCAATGTGGCAGATGTTGCAAGTATATGGAATAGGTGGTAAGTTATTAAATGCTGTAAAGAGTTTTTATGAGGATAGTGAGGCTCAGGTTAGGGTGTGTAGAAGAGAGGGAGACTACTTCCCAGTAAAAGTAGGTCTTAGACAGGGATGTGTAATGTCACCATGGTTGTTTAATATATTTATAGATGGGGTTGTTAAGGAAGTAAATGCTAGGGTGTTTGGGAGAGGGGTGGGATTAAATTATGGGGAATCAAATTCAAAATGGGAATTGACACAGTTACTTTTTTGCTGATGATACTGTGCTTATGGGAGATTCTAAAGAAAAATTGCAAAGGTTAGTGGATGAGTTTGGGAATGTGTGTAAAGGTAGAAAGTTGAAAAGTGAACATAGAAAAGAGTAAGGTGATGAGGGTGTCAAATGATTTAGATAAAGAAAAATTGGATATCAAATTGGGGAGGAGGAGTATGGAAGAAGTGAATGTTTTCAGATACTTGGGAATTGACGTGTCGGCGGATGGATTTATGAAGGATGAGGTTAATCATAGAATTGATGAGGGAAAAAAGGTGAGTGGTGCGTTGAGGTATATGTGGAGTCAAAAAACGTTATCTATGGAGGCAAAGAAGGGAATGTATGAAAGTATAGTAGTACCAACACTCTTATATGGGTGTGAAGCTTGGGTGGTAAATGCAGCAGCGAGGAGACGGTTGGAGGCAGTGGAGATGTCCTGTTTAAGGGCAATGTGTGGTGTAAATATTATGCAGAAAATTCGGAGTGTGGAAATTAGGAGAAGGTGTGGAGTTAATAAAAGTATTAGTCAGAGGGCAGAAGAGGGGTTGTTGAGGTGGTTTGGTCATTTAGAGAGAATGGATCAAAGTAGAATGACATGGAAAGCATATAAATCTATAGGGGAAGGAAGGCGGGGTAGGGGTCGTCCTCGAAAGGGTTGGAGAGAGGGGGTAAAGGAGGTTTTGTGGGTAAGGGGCTTGGACTTCCAGCAAGCGTGCGTGAGCGTGTTAGATAGGAGTGAATGGAGACGAATGGTACTTGGGACCTGACAATCTGTTGGAGTGTGAGCAGGGTAATATTTAGTGAAGGGATTCAGGGAAACCGGTTATTTTCATATAGTCGGACTTGAGTCCTGGAAATGGGAAGTACAATGCCTGCACTTTAAAGGAGGGGTTTGGGATATTGGCAGTTTGGAGGGATATGTTGTGTATCTTTATATGTGTATGCTTCTAGACTGTTGTATTCTGAGCACCTCTGCAAAAACAGTGATAATGTGCGAGTGTGGTGAAAGTGTTGAATGATGATGAAAGTATTTTCTTTTTGGGGATTTTCTTTCTTTTTTTGGGTCACCCTGCCTCGGTGGGAGACGGCCGACTTGTTGAAAAAAAAAAAAAAAAAAAAAAATAGGAGAAAGCAACTTATAACAACTTTTCAGTTTCACCTGGCAGGTTATTGTGCATAAAGTTTATACTTACATATTTTGGCAATAAAACAACAAGAATGAATTTTCTTTTTTATATACTGTACATACAGTACTTTTGTTTAGTCAGATCCAACACAGATGTAACTTATAAAAGAGTAGTGTAAACCACTTATTATATGCACGTCACATTACAGCAACATTTACATTTAGATTATAATAATGTTGGTATGAACACATTTATGTTAAGAAACATTCTATAATTCTAAAACATTTTTCTTCATAAAATGTCCAGACATCTTGATGACTAAGATTAATTAGTGACAGACCTAAAGTTTTTGTGGGTGGAGGCATCTAATACACACAAAATTTACTAATGTACATAGTGCTGACATGGTATTACACAACTCGTAAAAGAATCTTCTTCATTAAAGCAACAGAAGGAAGATACACCTGTCTAACAGCCATGGTGAATGTCTAGTGGCTTTCTTTTGTGCCTAACACTATTGTATTACATGTAAACGGCATTATCTGTGTACTGCAGAAAATAAAGTACAGTGGACCCCCGGTTAACGATATTTTTTTCACTCCAGAAGTATGTTCAGGTGCCAGTACTAACCGAATTTGTTCCCATAAGGAATATTGTGAAGTAGATTAGTCCATTTCAGACCCCCAAACATACACATACAAACGCACTTACATAAATACACTTACATAATTGGTCGCATTCGGAGGTGATCGTTATGCGGGGGTCCACTGTATTTGTATCAATCCTTCATGTACTGTACTAGCTTCATCCTTAATACATCACTAATTAGAATTTTTTTTACTGAATTACTTAATACGTACCTCCAATATTTTAAAAACTATGCATTTTTATTCTTGTATAAGTACTTGTATTCATAATTTAGTTTTAAGGCTTCCTAAAATGCTCTGCATAATTAAGGGGTTTCTATAAAGTAATTTACATATGACAATCACCTCAATTGTATAATATAATGTACTCCACTTTATAGAAATAAAGTTTGTTTGATTTTGTTTTTCTGTTATATTTAATTAGAAGATGACATCATTGCCAGGAAGTAATGGATCATCACCCAAAAGAAGAGGGAAGATAGTTATCACCCTAAGAGAAAGGGGGCAGGGTTACCGCTATGATGTGGCCTGAAATTATAGTCATAACCACGATGAGAAACCCTTTGACTTCACTTAAATGAAGTAAACGCTTATTGAAAATTTTTAATCACACATCATTTGTAAATGATTTTGAAGCTCTAATTCTCACAGTCTGTCCTAGATACATGGGTCCCAGATGATAATCTGATCAGCCAAGCTATTGATTCAAAACTATTAATGGCTCCAGTTCAAGTTTACCTTACTATGTATTCCATGCCTTCAAAAAACCTACTATGGTACTCTATTTATATTGTACTGACAACAACAAGATATTGTACAACTCGAGAGACTAGTTATACCTCAAGACTGCTTGCTGTGTATATTGTCAGCTGCACACCCATCCAGTATCCACAGTGCACAGAAAACATACAGTTTAAACTACACTGTACTTTTACTTGTCATAAAATCAAAATGTTTGAAGGAAATACACACAATGATAAAATAAAATGAGGTAGAATAAAACAGTAAAGGAATCAGGCATGTTTCAAGAGTTTTACAATGGGCAGTTTCCTGAACTTACAAAAAATTTAATGTGCTAGAACATACATATATAACACATAAATACTTCATTTAAAAGTCATTTACATACAGTTTTTCCCAGTTACATATTTATTAAAAGAAACCTATGCCAAATCTGAGCCTAAAGCAGCTGCAGCTAGGCCTACCTACCGAAGTAAAGATAAGAATGTGATGAAATTTCATTAACATCTCGAAACTACAAGTTATATATTTGCTAATAATAATTACAGCTAAAATAATTATTAAGCGCACAAAAATTAGCCTTTGCTAGGAATAATATACATCTGGATATTTTAAATACGTAATATATAAAGTACCTCACATTTAATAAAGTTTGAAACAACAAAAACCGTTCAGCCTTGTGAAGTTCTGTAAGAGATGTTGACACAGCACAAGTCGACGATGTTACAGTTCAACGTCCTCCTTCCTGTCCACCTCCAAATACCACCATAATCAATACCACTGGAACAATGTACATCCACTGGAAGAGAAAGTAGTGATAAAAGGATTACATTTTAAGTAGATCCTTCTTCTTTCAACAAACTGGCTGCATCCCACCGAGGCAGGGAGTTTACCTGGAGTTTACCTGGAGAGAGTTCCGGGGGTCAACGCCCCCACGGCCTGGTCTGTGACCAGGGCTCCTGGTGGATCAGAGCCTGATCAACCAGGCTGTTACTGCTGGCTGCATGCAATCCAATGTACGAGCCACAGTCCGGCTGGTCAGGTACCGACTTTAGGTGCTTGTCCAGTGCCTGCTTGAAGACAGCCAGGGGTCTATTGGTAATCCCCCTTATGTATGCTGGGAGGCAGTTGAACAGTCTTGGGCCCCTGACACTTATTGTATTGTCTCTTAACGTGCTAGTGACACCCCTGCTTTTCACTGGGGGGATGTTGCATCGTCTGCCGAGTCTTTTGCTTTCGCTGTGAGTGATTTTCGTGTGCAAGTTCGGTACTAGTCCCTCTAGGATTTTCCAGGTGTATATAATCATGTATCTCTCCCGCCTACATTCCAGGGAGTATAGGTTCAGGAACTTTAAGCGCTCCCAGTAATTGAGGTGCTTTATCTCCGTTATGCGCACCACGAAGGTTCTCTGTATCTAGGTCAGCAATTTCACCTGCCTTAAAAAGAGCTGTTAGTGTGCAGCAATATTCCAGCCTAGATAGAACAAGTGACCTGAAGAGTGTCATCATGGGCTTGGCATCCCTAGTTTTGAAGGTTCTCATTATCCATCCTGTCATTTTTCTAGCAGATGCGATTAATACAATGTTATGGTCCTTGAAGGTGAGATTCTCCAACATGATCACTCCCAGGTCTTTGACGGAAGTTTTTCACTCTATTGTGTGGCTGGAATTTGTTTTATACTCTGATGAAGTTTTAATTTCCTCATGTTTACCATATCGGGGTAATTGAAATTTCTCATCGTTGAACTTCATATTGTTTTCTGCAGCCCATTGAAAGATTTGGTTGATGCCCGCCTGGAGCTTTGCAGTGTCTGCAATGGAAGACACTGTCATGCAGATTCGGGTGTCATCTGCAAAGGAAGACACGGTGCTGTGGCTGACATCCTTGTCTATGAGAAACATATGGAAGCAAGTACTGTGCCTTGTGGAACAGAGCTTTTCACCGTAGCCGCCTCAGATTTTACTCTGTTGACTACTACTCTTTGTGTTCTGTTTATGAGGAAATTATAGATCCATCTACCAACTTTTCCTGTTATTCCTTTAGCGCCCATTTTGTGCGCTATTACGCCATGGTCACACTTGTCGAAGGCTTTTGCAAAGTCTTTATATATTACATCTGCATTCTTTTTGTCTTCTAGTGCATCTAGGACCTTGTCGTAGTGATCCAGTAGTTGAGACAGACAGGAGTAACCTGCTCTAAACCCACGTTGCCCTGGGTTGTGTAATTGATGGGTATCTAGATGGGTGGCGATCTTGCTTCTTAGGACCCTTTCAAAGATTTTTATGATATGGGATGTTAGTGCTATTGGTCTCTAGTTCTTTGCTATTGCTTTACTGCCCCCTTTGTGGAGTGGGGCTATGTCTGTTGTTTTTAGTAACTGTGGGACGACCCCCGTGTCCATGCTCCCTCTCTATAGGATGGTAAAAGTTCGTGATAGGGGCTTCTTGCAGTTCTTGATGAACATGGAGTTCCATGAGTCTGGCCCTGGGGCAGAGTGCATGGGCATGTCATTTATCACCTGTTCGAAGTCATTTGGTGTCAGGATAACATCAGATAGGCTTGTGTTAGCCAAATTCTGTGGCTCATAAAAAATTCATTTTGATCTTCGACTCTCAGTCTGGTTAGTGGCTTGCTAAAAACTGAGTCATATTGGGACTTGAGTAGCTCACTCATTTCCTTGCTGTCATCTGTGTAGGACCCATCTTGTTTAAGTAGGGGCCCAATACTGGATGTTGTTCTCGACTTGATTTGGCATAAGAAAAGAAATACTTTGGGTTTCTTTCGATTTCATTTATGGCTTTTAGTTCTTCCTGCGATTCCTGACTCCTATAAGATTCCTTTAGCTTAAGTTCAATGTTTGCTATTTCTCTGACCAGTGACTCCCTACGGATTTCAGATATTTTGGCCTGTTTAACCGCTCTGTTATTCTTTTCCGTCGCCTGTAAAGGGAGCGCCTGTCTCTTTCTATTTTACATCTACTCCTCCTTTTTCTTAAAGGAATAAGCCTTGAGCATACATCGAGTGTCACCGAGTTAATCTGTTCTAGGCATAAGTTGGGGTCTGTGTTGCTTAGTCTATCTTCCCAGCTTATATTGTTTAGGACTTGGTTTACTTGGTCCCACTTTATGTTCTTATTATTGAAGTTGAATTTGGTGAAGGCTCCCTTGTGACTAATCTCATTTTGTCGGTCTGGGGCTCCACGCATACATGGCTGAACCTCGATTATGTTGTGATCTGAGTATATTGTTTTTGATATGGTGACATTTCGTATCAGATCATCACTGTTAGTGAAGATGAGGTCTAGTGTATTCTCCAGTCTAGTAGGCTCTATTATTTGCTGGTTTAAGTTGAATTTTGTGCAGAGATTTAAAAGCTCGTGTGTGTGTGAGTTCTCATCAGAGCTGCCTCCAGGTGTTATCACTGCAACAATATTATTTGCTATATTCCTCCATTTTAGGTGCCTCAAGTTGAAATCCCCCAGGAGCAAGATGTTGGGGGCAGGAGCATGGCAGATTTTCTAGACAGTGGTCAATTTTTAACAGCTGTTCCTGGAATTGCTGGGACGTTGCATCCGGAGGCTTGTAGACTAGCACAATGACTAGGTTTTGGCTCTCAATCTTTACTGCTAAAACTTCCATTTTCACTACCCAAAAAGAAAAACAAAAGTTTCTTTAACTTTAGTAATGTTTACAGGAGAAAGGGTTACTAGCCCCTTGCTCCCAGCATTTTAGTCACCTCTTATGACATGCATGGCTTACAGAGGAAGAATTCTGTTCCACTTCCCCATGGAGAAGTTTACACAGGTGTCAGAAATATAATTAATCTTACAAGAATAAAATTCTTCAACCTTAATAAGAATGCAATTCAGAGAGAGTCTTGAAAAACCAATAAAATAACATTCTGAAATACAGGCTATATGAATAATCTCCATGGGAAGGTGGAAAAGAATTCTTCCTCCATGAGCCATGTGTGTCATAAAAGGCGACTAAAATGCCAGGAGCAATGGGCTAGTAACCCCTTCTCCTGTACAGGTTGGCCATGGCTAATCCGGCAATCAGTAATCCGGCACTAATTTTGGCTAGCATAATTTCAAATTTCTGGGGTTGCCACACCAAACTGCCACTACTGATTGGTAGTGCTACTTGCTGCAAGAGTCATTACAATTTCTTTCCCTCCATTTATTGTTATAGCTTGCTTACTTTTAGCCCTAGCCATGGTTCCAACAAATAAAAGAAATGCTTCTCGTTGTGTAAAGCACATACACAGTACACTGCCCATAAAAGTTAAGGTGACTTTGAAGCCACTGTTGGTCACCATGAGCTCAGCTCACTCAGACGAGCTGTGACTGGTAAATTTGGGCCTACATATGAGAGAATAGGTCTGTGTCGTAAGTATGCGCTATATAAAAAAAAATCATGCAGCACACAGTGCATAATGAGAAAAAACTGCGACCGTGGTGCAAAACAGCGACATTGCAGTGTATTTTCATATAGTTTTTATGGTTGTATTCTCGTTTATTTGGTCTCATTTGATAAAATGGAAGATATATTACACAAATAGATATGATTTTGATTGGTTTCACAACGAAAAGTACTTTGAAATTGAGCTCAAAGTAGTGGAAATGTTCGATATTTGCCGATGTTCAAGAGTAAACAAATTATGTCACCATTCAATACATGTCTAACTGGCCGGTCTAATACGTAGTCACAAATGGGTTGACATTATTTATACAATTATTACAATAATGCAGTAGACTACATAACAGTAAATCTATTTTTCTGTGCGAATAAAAATTCAAAATGGAGAGAAAGAGTAATATAAGAGGGGCCTGGAGATGTGACTAATGAACTGAGAAAATGCTATTTTAGTGCCAGGAATGTCTGCATTGTTCATTCTGGACCCTATTTTGAAATTGGCATCTTTTGAAATTTGTGTGAAACTGGTCAAATTACCAATTTCTGACCACTTTATTGGGTAGCTGAAACAGGTGAATGGGCAGTTTCTTGTACTCAATCAACAGAATAGAGGGAATACTAGCAAAATAGTTATGAGTTTGGTAGACTGGAACAATGGAATGGGTAAAAAATAGGGTGTAAAGTGGGTGAAATCACCAATGCGTAAATATCACCATTGGGTTAAGTGTATTCTAACCTAACCACTCTGTAATTCGTCAAAATCACTAATCCAGCACCCTACAGGTCCCAATGATGCTGGATTAGTGATGGCCAACCTGTATATATTGCTAAAGTTAAAAAGAGAAACTTTTGTTTTTTCTTTTTGGGTCACCTTGCCTTGGTGGGATATGGCCGGTTTGTTGGGAAAAAAAAATGAATAATATTCTGCTGGAGAACAGAAGACAAGCTACATTCATAAAATAATGATGCACAGCTTCCCACGTGTCAAGTGTTTGCCATGAAACAAATAACTAAAAAACCTAGAGTAATAAAATTATAATAAAATGTAATCAAGGGATCATACACTTGGGAAATAAGAAGTTGTCAGTTTGATCCAAAGCAAGAGAAAAGCAATTTCTTGAATCAAGAGCCCTTCATCAGTATCAAGGTACTCACCTTCCTTTTTCAACCTTTAATTACTTTAAGATCTTTATTTTGCACCCCCACCCATCCTGTGGGTGGTAGTCAAATGATTACAGAGGTACATAATGGGTCCAGAGACTGTACCACAACATTACAGAGGTACATAATGGGTCCAGAGACTGTACCACAACATTACAGAGGTACATAATGGGTCCAGAGACTGTACCACAACATTACAGAGGTACATAATGGGTCCAGAGACTGTACCACAAAGTTTTGAGAGCTGAATAAGTTACAGTGGTAATGAACTACTTACATATTTATATCTGGTTACAGTCATATTGAGTTACTTATGCAAACATGAATTAGGAGGCAGAGAGAGAGAGAGAGAGAGAGAGAGAGAGAGAGACAGACAGACAGACAGACAGACAGACAGACAGACAGACAGACAGACAGACAGACAGACAGAGACAGACAGACAGACAGACAGACAGACAGACACACACACACACACACACACACACACACACACACAACACACACACACACACACACACACACACACAACCTGTGTCATTGACGTGTATAGTATGCAAAATTATGGAGAAGATTATCAGGAGGAGAGTGGTGGAGCACTTGGAACGGAACAAGAGTATAAATGCCAACTAGCACGGATTCACGGAAGGCAAATCCTGTGTCACAAACCTTCTGGAGTTTTATGATAAAATAACAGAAGTAAGACACGAGAGAGAGGGGTGGGTTGATTGCATCTTCTTGGACTGCAAGAAGGCCTTTGACACAGTTCCTCACAAGAGATTAGTGCAGAAGCTAGAGCATCAGGCGCATATAACAGGAAGGGCACTGCAATGGATCAGAGAATACCTGACAGGGAGGCAACAACGAGTCATGGAACGTAATGATGTATCACAGTGGGCACCTGTGACGAGCGGGGTCCCACAGGGGTCGGTCCTAGGACCAGTGCTATTTTTGGTATATGTGAACGACATGATGGAAGGGTTAGACTCAGAAGTGTCCCTGTTTGCAGATGATGTGAAGTTAATGAGGAGAATTAAATCTGATGAGGACCAGGCAGGACTTCAAAGAGACCTGGACAGGACTGGACACCTGGTCCAGCAAATGGCTTCTTCGAATTTAATCCTGCCAAATGCAAAGTCATGAAGATAGGGGAAAGGGCACAGAAGACCACAGACAGAGTATAGGCTAGGTGGCCAAAGACTGCAAACCTCACTCAAGGAGAAAGATCTTGGGGTGAGTATAACACCGAGCATGTCTCGGAAGCACACATCAATCAGATAACTGCTGCAGCATATGGGCGCCTGGCAAACCTGAGAACAGCATTCCGATACCTTAGTAAGGAATCGTTCAAGACACTGTACACCGTGTATGTTCAGGCCCATACTGGAGTATGCTGCACCTGTTTGGAACCCGCACTTGATAAAGCACGTCAAGAAACTAGAGAAAGTACAAAGGTTTGCCACAAGGTTAGTTCCAGAGCTAAGGGGAATGTCCTATGAAGAAAGATTAAGGGAAATCGGCCTGACGACACTGGAGGACAGGAGGGTCAGGGGAGACATGATAACGACATATAAATACTGCGTGGAATAGACAAGGTGGACAAAGACAGGATGTTCCCAGGGAGGGACACAGAAACAAGAGGCCACAATTGGAAGTTGAAGACACAAATGAGTCAGAGAGATATTAGGAAGTATTTCTTCAGTCAGAGTTGTAAGGCAGTGGAATAGCCTAGAAAATGACGTAGTGGAGGCAGGAACCATACACAGTTTTAAGACGAGGTTTGATAAAGCTCATGGAGCGGGGAGAGAGAGGGCCCAGTAGCAACTGGTGAAGAGGCGGGGCCAGGAGCTAAGACTCGACCCCTGCAACCACAAATAGGTGAGTACAAATAGGTGAGTACACTCATGGAGGAGTCACGTAGTTTGAGCTCGTGTTTTGGTGGTAATTTCTGACTGTGCCATAAGGAATAGAGTGTGGGATATAGGCGTGTGCACGCATAAGAGTGCATATAATCACTTAAGGAAATATAAGTGATCACAGAAAAGAAAACAAAGGAAATAGTGACTAAGTGTTTAGTGGGGGCCGGGGGAAGGAAGGTGGACGGTTGTGTCAGGCCTAAATAGTGTTGCCATAATAACGTAGTGGGGTATTTTGAAGAATAAGTGCGACTCAAGAACAGGGAGATAAGAGACATGTATAGATGTGTCAGTAAATACAGTGAGTGAAAAAATTAGATGAGCTAGAGACTATAGTGCATACAGGAAGTTAGTGGAAAAATTACCGAGAAGCATCAAGCATCTTCAACTACTGGGACACAGGACAGACCCGCAACGTTACTCCACTGCCAGTCGCAAGTAATTTTCACCTAGTTTGAGTATCATGGGGTCAATAGTACCTGTCTCTAGCTGGAATTGGGGGTCACTCTCCTCGAGCTATCAGAATTAGAATAAGCAGCATTTACTGGCATTTAATAGAATTTAGAGGTAGCGGCATACAGGCGAAGCCTAGTGTATTTATTTTTGAATGTAATTTTAAACACATAAGACAGTACAGTGGGAACCAAGAGATTGGGTACATATGCAATACATATGTAGTACATATGTGGGAAATAAGGACTGCTTACATAAACATATCCACACACACACACACACTAGGTGAGAACAGGCTCTGCTGTTAGGCACTTGAATAGCTGTAGCACATACATACACACACACACACACACACACACACACACACACACACACACACTAGGTGAGTACAGGATCTGCTGTTAGGCACTTGAATAGCTGTAGCACGCACACACACACACACACACACACATACACACACACACACACACACACACACACACACACACACACACACACACACACACACACTAGGTGAGTACAGGATCTGCTGTTAGGCACTTGAATAGCTGTAGCACACACACACACACACACACACACACACACAACACCACACACACACACATACACACACACATGCACACACACACTAGGTGAGTACAGGATCTGCTGTTAGGCACTTGAATAGATGTAGCACGCACACACACACACACACATACACATACACACACACACACACGCACTAGGTGAGTACAGGATCTACTGTTAGGCACTTGAATAGCTGTAGCACACGCACACACATACACACACACACACACATGCACGCACACACACACACACACACACACACACACACACACACACAACACGCGCGCGCGCGCGCCAAGGAGGTCTGGTCTGAGACCGGGTCGCGGGGGCGGTAACCTCCGGAAGCAACTCCAGTGAGTGCCAAGTCAACCATGCTGTGATGGATATGTGGGCCAGTGGGCTCCCAGCAGTAACAGCCTGGTTGACCACGCAATCATCAGGAAAATCTTGCCTCACGGCGAACTCCAAAGGTAGGAGAACCTTCGGAGAACCATTAAAACTTGTCACATATTTGTGACTGTGTGTGTGATAGTCACACACCAAGAGACAGGCACAGTGATAAACAATGAGAGACGGATGAAGAGAGAGGCAGGAACAGCCAGAGAGACAAGAGGCGTCCTGGAGGGCTTATATAGAATGTAAATAAAACAGTGTGGGACATTAACAATGAGTGGAGCGCGCACACACACACACACACACACACACACACACACACACGCGCGCGCGCGCCAAGGAGGTCTGGTCTGAGACCGGGTCGCGGGGGCGGTAACCTCCGGAAGCAACTCCAGTGAGTGCCAAGTCAACCATGCTGTGATGGATATGTGGGCCAGTGGGCTCCCAGCAGTAACAGCCTGGTTGACCACGCAATCATCAGGAAAATCTTGCCTCACGGCGAACTCCAAAGGTAGGAGAACCTTCGGAGAACCATTAAAACTTGTCACATATTTGTGACTGTGTGTGTGATAGTCACACACCAAGAGACAGGCACAGTGATAAACAATGAGAGACGGATGAAGAGAGAGGCAGGAAGCCAGAGAGACAAGAGGCGTCCTGGAGGGCTTATATAGAATGTAAATAAAACAGTGTGGGACATTAACAATGAGTGGAGCGCGCACACACACACACACACACACACACACACACACACACACTCGATCGAAGACCAGGCAGAACTATAAAGGGATCTGGACAGGCTGCAGACCTGGTCCAGCAATTGGCTCCTGGAGTTCAATCCCACCAAGTGCAAAGTCATGAAGATTGGGGAAGGGCAAAGAAGACCGCAGACGGAGTACAGTCTAGGGGGCCAGAGACTACAAACCTCACTCAAGGAAAAAGATCTTGGGGTGAGTATAACACCAGGCACATCTCTTGAAGCGCACATCAACCAAATAACTGCTGCAGCATATGGGCGCCTGGCAAACCTCAGAACAGCATTCCGACATCTTAATAAGGAATCATTCAGGACCCTGTACACCGTGTACGTTAGGCCCATATTGGAGTATGCGGCACCAGTTTGGAGCCCACACGTAGCCAAGCACGTAAAGAAACTAGAGAAAGTGCAAAGGTTTGCAACAAGACTAGTCCCAGAGCTAAGAGGTATGTCCTATGAGGAGAGGTTAAGGGAAATCAACCTGACGACACTGGAGGACAGGAGAGATAGGGGGGACATGATAACGACTTACAAAATACTGAGGGGAATTGACAAAGTGGACAAAGACAGGATGTTCCAGAGATTGGACACAGCAACACAGGGACACAGTTGGAAGTTGAAGACACAGATGAATCACAGGGATGTTAGGAAGTATTTCTTCAGCCACAGAGTAGTCAGGAAGTGGAATAGTTTGGGAAGCAATATAGTGGAGGCAGGATCCATACATAGCTTTAAGCAGAGGTACGATAAAGCTCATGGTTCAGGGAGAGTGACCTAGTAGCGACCAGTGAAGAGGCGGGGTCAGGAGCTTGGACTCGACCCCTGCAACCTCAACTAGGTGAGTACAACTAGGTGAGTACACACACACACAACACACAAAAAAAAAAAAATTTCAAGTGGTAATGCATTTACCAGTGGTCAAAGTCAGGGTATTTTTCCAGAATGGTTAGTAATATATCCACTGTGGATAAAATATATTTTCAAAGACAGAAGCACATCCCAATGAGCTTCAACCATCCTTATAGATGGAGCATTATAGAAGGTCTGGCTATTTTGAGATAATAAAATGTTATCAGAAAAAGTAGCAACTTACGTATTTGGCCAAAAAGGATCGATTATCTTTCCCTTCCGCCTTTTCATTCTTCATGGCTTCCAACTTTTCTATATAAGTGGCTGTGTCTGGCCTATAAAAAGAAGAAACTTATATATATTACTGCAAACAGTAATGTAAACTTATAAAACAATAAAAATTACAAAAAACAGTGTGAGCTTCAAAAAGAAAATTAGTAAAGATATTCTGAATTACTATGAATTTAAAATAAACATATAAATAACACAATGAAATCAAGTTGAGTCAGACTTCATATATGTAATTTTTTTTTTTTTTTTTTTTTTTTTTTTTTTTTTTTTTTTTTTTTTTTTTTTTTTTTTTTTAACTTATTTCAAATCACTTTGGATTTGCAAAATACACTACTCTCTAGCTTTCTTTCAGCGCTGTATGACCCTAGTAGGTTTACCGCTTCTCTTTGATGATAATAATAATATAGTTTTCTTTACACACAAATGTTTATGCTTTGTCACACATATATACATGCACACACACCATGCACACACTGAGCTATGACTCGACCCCTGCAACCACAAATAGGTGAGTACACTTTTGTAACAAACTGGCCGTCTCCCACCAAGGCAGGGTGACCCGAAAAAGAAGAAACAATTTCACCACCACCACTCACTCCATCATTGTCTTGCAGGAGGCCTGCTAATACTACAATTCTAAATTGCAAATATCCCCACCCCTCCTTCAGAGTACAGACATTGTACTTCCCATCTCCAGGACTCAAGTCCAGCTACCTGGTTTCCCGGAATCCCTTTATGAATGTTACCTTGATCACATTCCAACAATATGTCAAGTCATAAAAACAGCTTGCCTCCATTTACTCCTAACATGCTCACACACACACACACCTGCTGGATGTCCAAGCCCCATGCACACAAAACCTCCTTTACCCCCCTTCCTCCAACCTTTTCTAGGTATTTATACAGGTGCTCCTTAACTCTCAATGGGGTTCCAATGAACCCATTGTAAGTTGAAAATACAAGTCAAATATGAATATATGATAGATAAATAAGTAAATAAATAACCGTCACTGAATATGTAAATAAACAAATAATTACTTTAACTAAATATGTACCAGTATTGAAAGGTAAATAAATGAATTTAGGTTTAACTTATCAATAAATGTACAGTACTAAATATGCACTGCTATCACACCATCATAAAATCAAAATATCGTAATTTATTACATCCTCTAAGTATAAGACTAACACTGGAGCAGGAGTCGGAGATCTTATGATGACTGTAGTGTTGTGCTGCACTGGAATAATCTCTGGTGGCTGTCCTCGACACACAGCAACAGGAGGGATCAGACCCACACCAACTACCGACATCCCAGCACTGTCCACCATCATACTCACCGTCTCCGACAGCGCACTCTCGTATATCTGACACTAAAGAATTACAGGTACTAAAATAATCTTCTATAATAATTGCTTATAACAAGTAAAAAATTATTTCAATTAAACTTTACATGGGAAAGTGGTTCACTTACCTTTATCACCCTCTCTGTTCACCACACACCCACCAGTCCTTCAAATTTCATCTTACCTATCCTCCTTCTTTCCCAAACTTCCCAAAAGCTCTGGTTACAGTATTTATTACATGGGAAAATAAATCTATAATTTAGTGACAGTACAATGAACACAAAATACAATACATACAGTAGACAGTAAAACCTCAATGTATCAGACCCCCTATGTAATGGATTTCAGATATAACAGACAAACATTTGGCCAGACAAGTGTACAATGCAATGGACTAAGTCTGCTGCAGCAAGATTTTGTTCATTAGTGGTACTGTGTGTCCAGAAGGTTCCTCATATAACAGAACAAGTCTGCTGCATCGAGATTTTGTCTGTTAGCAGTAGTGTTCATGTTTGATAAGCTTTCCATACAGTGGACGATGTCTGATGCATCAGGCATTTTGATACTAAAAGTTTTCATCTAAATAGACACCCCTTCCCGATCTATTTGTGCATTATACCGAGATTTCACATTTCAATAACGTACCAGTTGTCAGCTAATACTCTATTAAAAGAGGGTAAGATAATTGTAAAGTACAAGTCGGCCATCACTAATTCGGCAATCAGTTATCTAATTCCATCAGTAATCCGGCACTAATTCCAGCTAGCATAATTTCAAATTTCATCATTATGCTAACTCATTATACTGACTCAAATTTCATCATTATACCAACTCAGAAATTGTGCAGATGATTGTAAATCTACAGCGGCAAGCCAGTGGAGGAGAAAGCAGTGATGAAAAGTTAGGAAGATGTAGCAGAATGTCTCTCTATTGAGAGGTTAATTAAGTGTATACTAACCTAACCACTTTGCAATCCAGCAAACTCACTAATCTGGGCACACTACAGGCCCCAGTGATGCCGGATTAGTGGTGGCCAACCTGTAATATAAATATGTTGCCCTTACACGTGTTAGGGTAAATGCATACAGTAACTTGATGCTCATACATGAATTTAAATTCAGTTCTTAATTACAACGCTAAAAAAATTATAATAACAATGCAAAATCATAATGGGCACAAGAAAAAACAGGAGACAAGATTATGTAAATAAACATTATATTTTAATTTAAAGAAAATTGAAAATTAGGCTTGGTAGAGTACTGAAAGTCATATATATATTGTAAATATCACATTAGTGAAATGTATGGCAGGTCAAGATAAACTGCATGCAGACAGCATTCTTTGTGATTTCTTTTCAATATTATTTATTACTGCAAAGCTTTTAGTTATCTTCCAGCAGACTACACTACTCTGGATTTTCTGAATGCCTTCATATGCACAATTTCTATAGAGATTCATTCAAAGATGGGGTTTATTAGATAGGTTTTAGTGTTATCCCTTTGTGTTTTCTCACAGCTTACATCTGGGTCTGAAGTGCACTTCTGGATACTAAAGACGTGCTGAAAAATATAATGTATGTATGGCATACAGTGTACTGTATTTTTTTTAACACACTCGCTGTCTCCTACCGAGGCAGGGTGACCCCAAAGAAACACTTTCACTATCATTCACACTATCACTGTCTTTGTAGAGGTGCACAGATATGACAGTTTAGACATCACTCTAAACAGCAAATATCCCAAACCCCTCCTTTATAGTGCAGGCATTGTACGCTCCACCTCTAGGACTCAAGTCCGGCTAACCGGTTTCCATGAATCCCTTCACAAAATATTACCCTGCTCACACTCCAACAGCTCGTCAAGTCCCAAAAACCATTCATCTCCACTCCTATCTAACATGCTCACACATGCCTGCTGTATATTAGTAAGTGTAAATAGATTTAAATGGGTGTTGTGTGTTTTCTAAAGCATACATTTGATATGATCGTGATGCCTGCCTTGTTGTTTGATAATTAGGTTTATGTAGTTCAGTTATCTATCCCTTTGCACAAGTAGATAATGTGAGATATAGATAGAGGTGTAAAGTACAGGATGAACCGAGCAGTGTTGGACACAGAGCAGGAAATTTATGAAAGTGCCACATATAATAATAATAATAATAATAATAATAATCTTTATTTACTACAAGTACATGTACATGGTATACAGTCCTAGCTGACAACAATGACATACTACTACATAGAAAGCCACTTGTTATGCTGAGCATCTCGGGCAAATTAGGTCAGTGTCCCAGGATGCGACCCACACCAGTCAACTAACACCCAGGTACCCATTATTTACTGATGGGGAACATAGACAACAGGTGGAAAGAAACACGCCCAATGTTTCTACTCTGGCTGGGAATTGAACCCAGGCCCTCGCCGTGTGAAGCGAGAGCGTTAACCACCAGGCCACCAGAGCCACTATAAACTATCATATGTGCATGCCTCTGGCAAGACAGTCATAGTGTGAATGATGGTGAAAGTGTTTCTTTTTCAGGTCACCCTACTTCAGTGGGAGACAGCCAATGTGTTAAAAAAATGTAATACATATATAAGTTTAAGCCTTTGAATTTACCTTCACATTTTCTGTCTGAATACCTTTTATTATAAGATTTTATTTTATCCTTTTAGTTTAATTAAAAAATATACATGTATATATTAGTAATGTTTTTTTACATAAAGTGTGTTTGTTAGTTTTCTCTGTGTAGTTAACTATAATGTTTATACCCAAAATATGAAGTAGGTGAATTTAGAAGATACCATGGATATCTTTAACCTTTTTTTGTTTCCAAGAAAGAAGTATTAGAACTATGATAATGATGATGATAATGATGATGATGATGATGATGATGAGGAACATTTGAAAATACTTACAGCTTTGGTGAAAGTTGACACATAACCTTTTTCTTCCGATCCTTTATGATACACTCTGATGCGATACAAATCGTCGTTCTCTGCCAGGGCCTGAAAGACAAGCATCCGTAATAAGTAAATGTATAATGATTATTCATAAATATAATCGAACACAAAGCAATATATTAAGACCTCACAGCTTTCCAATACTTACATTTAGAAATTTACAGCATAGGAAGTAAAGCATAGACGATAATCTCAACACTAAAATTGTTTTCATAATATTGCAAACATTATACCATAATACAATGTAACATTTATGGTGAAAATTTGAATAAGTTTTAAAAATAATTGGGAACCCTCATTATATTTATCAATGTTGCATACCTCTCTATTCCATGTACAGTACCATCATCTAATACTGTTATAGTGTATCTCAGGAGTCTCATTCAAATGTTATATTATAATTTTTAGTAAAAGTAACATAGGGTGGCACTATTTCAATGAACCATTCAGATATGTTATTAAAATTTATATATAGAGATGTATTCTGATGATCACAATCATTTAAACTACAAAGTACAGTACTGTATTATACCAAGTAGGTGACATATTTATGACCAGTTTCAAGAGGTCTTCTACTCTTGCAGCCTGACCTAAAGCCAGGTAGAGGTCATAATACAAAAAAAAAAAAAGGGAAACAAATCACATTTTTAACTTACCCGCAGCTTATCGTGTAATTCTGGGGTCCACTGGCGCATATGCGTGACCAGAGCATTGCCAGACTTGACTGAGCGCACGTGGATTGTTGATCGGGGAGAGAAGGTGGGGTTTGGACCTCCCTCAAGTGCATCCTCCACCACCAGGGTGAGTTGACCATCTAGAAACTCATCCTCCTGAAGGAATAAAATTACAAATGAAAATTCAATGATCTCAATATGTGAAAAAAATACGAAGACTTTATTTTCTGACCTAACTACTATATTTGAGAGAAAATGAATCTCACTAATTGAACATAAAATGCAGTAGAACCCCTGTATCCGCGGGGGGATAAGTTCCAGGGACCTGCCGTGGATACCAAAACCATAGATAGTAGCAAACGCTACATATAAATCCAATACATACCTATAATAGAGTTTAATTGATAAATTATGCAGAATAAGAGGAGAATTATCACCTTTTCACTGATGGGAAGCAGTTCATGGCTTCTTTTAGGCTTTGAAGAACTGGCAGCTTCTCTACTTTAGTGCTCTGGGACCATTATTATGTAAAATTAAGAGGTGTGGGTTGCATCCTGGGGGACAAGATTGAGGACCCCAATGGAAACAAGACAGACAGTCCTCGACGACACACTGATTTTCTTGGGTTATCCTGGGTGGCTGACCCTCTGGGGTTAAAAATCCCAACAAAATCTTATGTTATCATTCATGGATATCATCCCCCCTTCCCTCCCGAGAAAGTAACCCAGTAAGTTTATTTAGGTACAGGTACACATAAGTACAATTATCATACAGTGTGAGGTGTCCCGTGGCCTGGTACCTAACACACTCACCTTACACTGCGTGTCCATGGTTCGATCTCCGGCACGGGTGAAAACAATAGGCTTGTTTCTTAACATCTATTGTCTAGGCGCTAAACCCAATTTATCAATATTAAAATATATATTAAAACACATGAACCAACATCAAAAATTTCCTTGATAGAGCGATGCTTGACGAGGCCAAAACTCCACCATTTTTTTAAAACATCCATGAATACTGCTGCACCTGAAAATAAGGAAGCATTAATATATTACCTGAAAGCCATTAAGTCCTCCCAGAGCAGCCAATATGAGGAAAAATAACCACCAGGAAACTGTCTGTCCTGTCATTGTCTTGTTGTTGTTGGGGTTTTTAGGGCCACTAACATGATGCACCGTATTAACCTGGTCTTCCTGTGTCACCTGAATAATTGTAATAATAATAATATCTTTATTACCAGTACATGTACAAGGTATACCAGTACATGTACAAGGTATACCAGTACATGTACAAGGTATACAAGTACATGTACAAGGTATACCAGTACATGTACAAGGTATACCAGTACATGTACAAGGTATACCAGTACATGTACAAGGTATACCAGTACATGTACAAGGTATACCAGTACATGTACAAGGTATACAAGTACAAGGTATACTTGTACAAGGTATACAGACCATAGCTGACATCAGTGACATACTACTATATAGAAAGTCCCTTGTTATGCTGAGCATTTCCGTAAATTAGGTCAGTTTTGTCCCAGGATGTGACCCACACCAGTCCACTAACACCCAGGATGTGACCCACACCAGTCACCTAACACCCAGGATGTGACCCACACCAGTCCACTAACACCCAGGATGTGACCCACACCAGTCCACTAACACCCAGGATGTGACCCACACCAGTCCACTAACACCCAGGATGTGACCCACACCAGTCCACTAACTCCCAGGATGTGACCCACACCAGTCCACTAACACCCAGGATGTGACCCACACCAGTCCACTAACACCCAGGATGTGACCCACACCAGTCCACTAACACCCAGGATGTGACCCACGCCAGTCCACTAACACCCAGGATGTGACCCACACCAGTCCACTAACACCCAGGATGTGACCCACGCCAGTCCACTAACACCCAGGATGTGACCCACACCAGTCCACTAACACCCAGGATGTGACCCACACCAGTCCACTAACACCCAGGATGTGACCCACGCCAGTCCACTAACACCCAGGATGTGACCCACACCAGTCCACTAACACCCAGGATGTGACCCACACCAGTCCACTAACACCCAGGATGTGACCCACACCAGTCCACTAACACCCAGGTACCTATTTTATACTGATGGTGAACATGGACAGCAGGTGCCTTATAGAAACACGTCCTTAATATTTTCCAGCCGTACCGGAGATTCGAACTCCGGACGTCAGTGTGTGAGGTAAGTGCGCTACCAACCCAGCTACGGGACACCCAGTAATATTAATAATATCTTTATTTCTTCAAGTACAAGTACATGTACAAGGTATACAGATCATGGAAATAAAAATGTTTATTTCCTGCAATATTTACAATGTGGTTTACATAATATAAAATATTAATTACAAAGGCTACTAACATACCTAGGCATTTCGGGCAGCTGATATTAGTAACATAATACTATACACAAAGATGATTTTGGATTTTTTTTTATATAATTTCGTAAATGTAGAACATATAAATAAATAATATAATAATTGCATAAAGGACCCCAATGGAAATAAGTGACTTTAACAATTTTGGATTATCCTGGGTTCTCTTCACATATACTAAGTATTGATAATTTATGTAACTGTGTTTGTATACACCTGAATAAATTTACTTATTTGCGTATTAAAATACGAGAGTATTTGGACTCTTCGAGAAATTTCTATTGAGAGGATCCCCTCAAGGAAGGTTCCTTGATGTTGGTGAGGGGCTCTTGATTTAGGGAATTGGATCTGTGCTTCAGTTCCCCAAATTAAGCCTGAATGCCTTCCACATCCCCCCTCCCCCCCCGGCGCTGTATAATCCTCCGGGTTTAGCGCTTCCCCCTTGATTATAATAATAATAATATTGAGAGGAAGGGGGGGAGGGGGGACGCCATTTGCAATTTGTCAACTCTGGTCGTAGCGGGAAATTCTGTTAATAATTTGGCGTTCTTGGAGGCCTAATGGCGTGTCTCGGCCTCAATTTGTAATTTATAAATTGGTGATACGTTCCTGGTGAAGAACTGGAAGAAGAAATATGCGGGACGTCAAGGTTCGTTGAGGAGGACGATCGTAAATGTTACCAGCAACAGTTAAGTTACTATTATTTACAGTAGTTTTTGTGTTGTTATGGTAAATTCTAGGTGCCAGGGGTGAGGTTAATGTGTCTACCATCAGTATTGTCTTCCAGAAGATGAATACTAAGTGGTAATGCTAAGTTCTTGGTTGTAATACTTATAAATTTGTGTACCCAGCAAGCAACCTTAATTACACCTGTATAGCCCTTGTGGTTTAGTGCTTCTTTTTGATTATAATAATAATACAGTTTTAATTATTAACCTGAGGTGGACACAGAGATAATTAACATTACATTTGAGATTATTACAGATATTGAGAGTAAGTATATATTAATTATAATGATTTACCTATGTTAATGATGTTGAGCAAATGCACGTATATTTTTTTTACATATTTATAAGGATCCCAATGGAAATAAGTCACTGACTAACTTTTTTTTAGTTATCTCAGGTTATCTACACATATGTCCCCTCCAGGAAGGTTCCTTGATGCTGGTGAGGGGTTCTTGATCTTGGGAACTGGATCTGTGCTCCAGTTCCCTGAATTAACCCTGAATACCTTCCATCCCCCCCCACAGGCGCTGTATAATCCTACGGGTTTAGCGCTTCCCCCTTGATTATAATAATAATAATAATCTACACATATGTTGCTATGTATGATAATCTATGTATTTGTGTATACCTGAATAAACTTATTTATGATGGGCTGGGATAGGGGCAGGATGTTCCAGATTTTTATGTCTAGTATTGTGTCCATGGATCCTGTTGTAACTGTCAAGAAAGTGCTTCAGACCAGGATTTATATCGGAACTGGTTGTTCTGTAAATGCAGTTTACACAGTAGTATGAGTAGATGTTTTGTGTAGTGAGTAGGTTTAGGTCTGTGAAAAGTGGGGTTGTATGGCCCTTGTGGTTTAGCGCTTTTTTTTATAATAATATGAAAAGTGGGGGGGGGGGTTGTCTGGGTGTGGATTGTGTGATCATTTGTCACTGCAACTTTTAGTTGGGTTATTATTGACTTTGAGTGATTTGTTGTTGTGGAGCCCCAGGCATAAATTACACAGGTGAGGTAGATCAGTGAATAGTATAGTGTAAGTAGTGCTGTTTGTGGTACATAGTTACCTATCTTTGAAAGGATGTCAATTGTGCTCTATACTTTTTTTGTTATGTGTTGGATATGGGTGTTGAATTTCAGGTTGCTGTCAAGGTGTAGACCCAGGAATTTTCCCTCATTATGTTTAGCAATAAGAATGTTGTTAAGCATAATGTTTAGTTGGAGCTCACTTGCTCTATTCCAAAACATAATGTAAAAGATTTTGTCTATATTCAGTGTAAGTTTATTGAGTCATCCAGGTTGCTATTTTTGCGAGCTCTTCATTAAGAATAGTATTGAGTGAGGCTAAATTAGTGTGAGAGATGACAAAAGTCGTGTCGTCAGGAAAGAGAATAGATGTAAGTTGTTGAGATACACTTGGAAGGTCGTTGATGTATAAATGGAAAAGGAGGGGACCAAGAACGCTTCCCTGTGGTACATCAGTGTTCAAGGGTCTTATTGAGGAGGTTGTGTCATTGGTAGAGACGTATTCTTTCTGTTAGTAAGGTATGACTTGATATATGCAAGTGTATGGCCTCTTTTACCATAATGATCAAGTTTGAGGAGTAGGATGCTGTGGTCTACTGTATCAAAAGCTTTCTTAAGGTCAATAAAAACTCCAAGCGGGTATTCGTTTTTTTTTCAAGTGCTGTGTAAAGTAGGCCTAGCATTTTTATTATTGCATCATTTGTGCTTTTGTTTCTCCTGAAGCCAGACTGGCAGGGTTGAGGATGCTTTGTGATGTTATGAAAGAGTATAATCTTATGTATGAGTTTCTCGAAGATTTTGGAAAGTAAATGCAAGTTTGATATTGGCCTATAATCGTCTACATCTGTCGGGTCACCACCTTTGTGTATTGGTGTTATCCTTGCTATTTTGAGTGATGCCAGGAAAGTGGGTTTCTAGTGATTTGTTAAAGAGTAATGCAATGGTTTGGGGGAAATTATTTGAGCCGCTCGTTTATACAGTAATGGTGGCACTTGGGTTACATTTCCTGATTTGTTTTTTTAGTTAATAATCATGATAACCTCAGTGGGCTCTGTTGGTATAGGATAGAGGGATGTTGGGAAGTTTCCATAGATAATCATTAGCTCGGGCATTGATAATTGGAATTTTACTGGCGAGACTTGATCCTGTGTTTGAAAAGAAGTCATTTATCTTGCTAGCTCTATCAGTAAGCTGGAGTTTCGGTTCGTTTGGTTTAGTTAGGTTTGAGGTGCCCAGGATCTGAGAAAGTGTTTTCCAGGTCTTTTTAATTAATATCACCTCTCGTTTCAGTGAATCTATTAGAATAGAATAGTTGCTTGGATTTAAGTAAGTTTCTTCAGGTTAACACAAATACAGTTATATAGATTATCATACACACAAGAAGGAGAATGTAGAATATAACTTTGGTATAACTGTGTCTAGCATTAGGAATAATATTAGGAGAGAAGTAAATAATGAAAATGATTGTTATAGGAATGCAGTTAGAAGCCTGAGTAGATCTATAACCCACTATGATAACATGAACGTAGATAAGTATGTTTATGGAGCAACGTGCAATATGAACAGACTGACTGATGTTGTAGTGGCCAGGCTTAGGGGGCCCTGTTTCAAAAAAGTGTAGCTTTTTTGTTTACCGTCCGATTTCCTCCAGTTTTAGTACACAAGACAAAGTGTTTTCACTCTTTCTTGAAAATATTTATCAAAAATATACCTCAAAAAACAACTGAGAAAAGACTGAAAAAGGACTGATTTACTGAAAATGCCCTTGTGTCAAACTTTTTTCCTATATGGGACGACGTAAGGTTGTTTGGACATTTGGTGCCGAGAGAACAATGCTTATACGAATTTCTGGTGGATTAGTTTCCTCTAAATATCTTATCTTTATTTCACAAAAAAATAAAGTTTGTAGTTCTTGGAATGTTGCAAAATATCAGCCCTTTATTCCCACATAAATCCCAAAATAATTGGAATATTTCTCAAAATATTCCACCAGAAAATAGAGAAATCATTATTTTACAATTTCTGTGAATATTATTCCATTTAATTAAGTAATAAAGGAAGAATTATTTACATTAGGTGAATAAGTTACTTCCGAGATATTGGCCGGGAGCGCCGGCCGGCCGCCCCCCCCCCCCCCCCCCCGTGTAAATTTTTTTTTTTTTTTTCGCGAAAATCGCGTTGTTTGGGTGTATTTCTTAGTAAACTGATGTTCTAGTGCAGTTATCCTCTTCAAAACACCGTTTTCTCTTACTCAAAGACGACATGGAGAGGAGTAACTCATTTATATCGAAATATTCCCGATAATCTCGCCATATGGCCTATTTTATTCAGTCTAGAATATATAACATGTTTGTATGTTATTTATAGTGTTTATTATATCATATTAGATCAATTCTGATAGATAAATAAGCCGTAGAGTTGATATATAAGCTGATATAAGCGTAATAATGAAGTGATTTCTCCTGGCTCTCTCTCGAGCGGTGGTAGGCCTGGTAGGCTCTAAGTCTACGGATAAGCTCCGCCTACTGTTTTATGATGCCAAATAGTCAGTTATTATATTAGAAAGAATGCAAGAAAAAGAGATAAAAAACAAGGAAAAAAATCCAAAAAATATATGGGCTGTGAGCAGACTCGCTACCCACATCGCCGTCACCATACCTGATATAAATGACTATAATTTCTTGTAGAAACGTCGTAGAACAATCATTCTGGTACCATTGTGTTGCCAAAGAGTTAAGCTATTTTTCGGTATAAATAACTCAATTTTCATAATTTTTCGATTTTTTTTTTGAGCGCGCGCGGAAACATGGATCAGGGCCCCCTTAGGCTTGGTTACAAGTACTTCTGGCAGTTTGGGAGACACACAGATGATGATCAAACTAAATGCAAATTATGTGATCAGACATATGGTCACTGTCTTGAACACTATGTGCTTAATTGTCCACTTATTGAGGAATACAGAGACAGACAGTATAATAACCTATGTGACATGTCAAGATATCTTATTAATGAAAATAAGATACCAGATATACTAAGCAAATTTCCTAAATTTGCTTGTAACAGATAAGTGAACTATAGATATGTAGATATAAATCCATATATATTCCTGTTAACCCTTTGGGGCCTAGTTTCTAGGCCTTTTGTGCATCCATATGCTCTTGCGCTACCGTCCACAGGATGGATGGGGTGCACAATAAACTAGCCACTTGGGTGGCAAAAATCCAAATACACACAAGCATTCTGATTAATTTGTTAGAGACTGGCGTATAGTGTATGATGAATTCTTTAGCTATAAGCCCCGTCTGTATTGTTTTTCATAATGATGTTTCATATTGATGGATCTTAGGGTGGTACACAAATAACCCGCACATAAAAGAGAGAAGCTTACGACGACGTTTCGGTCCGACTTGGACCATTGACAAAGTCACACTAACAGAGGTGGAGCAGGACGGCTATATGTAGGCAGGAAGAGGTGGAGGTAGTAGTAGTAGTAGTACAAGAATTGTATACAATACCGACAGGATGAAATGACACATGCACAACACCCGGGCATCACCACCGTAGACGTCGTCGTAAGCTTCTCTCTTTTATGTGCGGGTTATTTGTGTATCGTTCCAGTCACGGTATTGTGCCTTTTTGTTATTTAGTTATTTATCTTAGGGTGGTGTTAGTAAGACAGGCAACAACAGACATAGCCCCACTCCACAAAGGGGGCAGTAAAGCAACAGCAAAGAACTACAGACCAATAGCACTAACATCCCATATCATAAAAATCTTTGAAAGGGTCCTAAGAAGCAAGATCACCACCCATCTAGAAACCCATCAGTTACACAACCCAGGGCAACATGGGTTTAGAACAGGTCGCTCCTGTCTGTCTCAACTACTGGATCACTACGACAAGGTCCTAAATGCACTAGAAGACAAAAAGAATGCA